TTTTTATCCTTTTTCTTCCCCATCCTGCTATATCCTTCCATGCCAGTATTCTACCTTGTGGCTGGTGCTGGACTTTGTCAGAGACAGCAGAGCAGACTAGATCAATCATGTCTGATTCCTGCTTGAGGTAACTGCATCTTCCTTTTGAACATTTTTTTTAAACATATGGGAGAATTTATGGAGCCTTTTTATTTTTTTTATTTTTTTTTCCCCCCAGTAGAGATGCACCTATATAACAACTTCCAATAGAGATGCACCTATATAACGACTTTGGTTTTACTGAAAATAGATTTGCTATTCATGGCTATAGACAGCTTAGAAGCAGCTCCAGAATAAAAGAAGTCTGCAGAAAAGTTGTAAACTAAAGGTAGAGATAATGTATTTGTGTTTGGGCCCAATCCTGGAGAAAACTCCCATTAAACACACCTGCATAAGGAATGGAAGATTTTCCCCAATCAAGTTTTATAGGAAATCTAACCCCACCCAGAAAAAGAAAGTGTTTCCAGTCTTTGTTTCATATAATTATTTCTATCTGTCTTCTAGAACATGTGTGTTTCTTATGACTACAGTATATTCGGTTGTAGTTTAAACAGTGATAAGTATATTTATAGATCTGTGTAAAACAAAATATTACTAGCATGTCAGCATTTGGTTGATCTTCACATTCTTGGCTTCAGAATGGTTTAAAATAAAACATACACACAAAGCAGGGTTGTTTTTTGGCTCCAGTTTCCTCATTTTTGCCCACAACAGACCTGGCAGATGTGGGATAGCTGGAATGTGCATATCTAACAATTCTCTTCTGTGCCATCATTTGAAGCTGTAGGAGTGCAGTTATTTGGCCGTAGCACGAACAGAGTGATGAATGTGATGAAATACAGATTTCATTTATGACCAGGGGATAAACGCTATTCAGGTCACAGAAACAGATTAGCGCATGGGGACAAAAAGTTCATAAAGAATTCTTTTTTGGAGGTGGAGGGAAGAGTACTAAAGAGCTGCAGTGATTAAACTGAAATGACTTGGTAGTTACTGGGAGTATATAAAAACAAATACAAAACAGGAACCATGAAAGGACGCAGGCTTCTTAATTGCTGTGGCCTTGGGATGGCCTTGCTAGAGAATCACAATCTGATTAATCATGATAACACAGAAACTGGATTGCTTCAAGAGGATTTTACATTCGGAATTTTGTGGAAAAGTTTAAAACTGTTTCAGGGGCCTCATACCCAAGACAAACCCAAAACAAATGAAAGGAAATCAGAGAGCTGTAAAAATGAATTATGAACCAAGACCTTCCTAGATGACTATTAAGCCTTGATCAGTTTATAACAGATCAAAGAAAGTCCTTCCCATCATAGGCAAGACTGTTACAGCAGAAACTATGCTGTTACCAGAGCCAAATCCTTACCCTGAGTTCAGATGTAGATGCAAGCTTGATAAATGAATCTATTTTTAAAGTTGACCGCTCACAAATCTAAATGTGAGCAAAGGTGTTTTCAAGATGGATTCGTAGCATATAATGCTCTGCATCTGTATGTTGGATCAACTTAAAAATATATGTTTAAAAAAAAATCACCAAACAAACAAAAAACCCAATAAACCAAATAAACACCAACCGCAAAAGTAGAAAAACACTTATTACCATTTCAGAAATAGCAGAAATCCGCATTTTTTGTGAAAATGAGTTCAGGAGGAGTTTTTCTTGGGTTAGAACTTCAGTAATAAACAGAGAGATATCTCATGGATCAGATAGAAACACCACAGAGATCTTCATTTAAAAATAAACCCACTTTCCAGAACATCTATCAGCTTTTTCTGCAGTCTGAATATTCCTTCCAGGAGGCCCTATCTATGCAGCATTTTCCACTGAGCAGTGCTCAGGGACTGGCAAGGCAGAGAAACTACAACTTTCCACGTAAGAAGCAGGGAAATGGGAAATGCTTTCTGAAAAGCCTCCATTGTGTCCCACATAGATCCAAAAAGGGAGCGTCTTACTGGAAAAGCCTTCATGGGAGAGGGCAACCTGATTGTGTGAGGTCTTTCTCACAGATGTCTAGGTGGGAAAAAGACTTGGCACCTAATATCGGAATGATATGACCCAACAAAAGACAGGAGATAGAGATTTTCCTGCCACGCTGCAAAGTTCAAATACTGTTTTGCCTCTCATAAAAAATGCTGTGGATCTGGGAGGGGAGGAGTGCAAGCCTTTGCTCCCTGTATAAATGTGGACGTGGGTGTGGAGAGGAGGGCAGAGGGCAGAGTATTTCTGTTTCAGAAAATGTCCTGAAATCTATGCCTGAAGTGATGAAAATGTTCTGGGCTGAAGAGAAATGAAGGACTTTCAGCCTGTTCTGAGCTTTCCTGCAGCTTTGGGCTCTCCCAAGGAGTTGTTTATCTCTGTCACAGCCACAGCATGGTGACAGCTTCACTAACAGCCTGAGTTCCACTGGTGCCATCTCCTGAGGCATCTCTGGTATCGCAAAAAAATCAGCCACCATCCTGAGAGCTCTGCCCTTTACGTAGGGATATTCACCAAGGATGAGTCCCATTGGTACTGTGAATTCATTTCCACATCTCCAGAGACCATCTGGGTGTGCAGCAATACTTTACAGTTGCATAAAGAAAGTTTTTCAAAGCACCAAGCATGGTATCTTGCTGTTTCAATATAACATGAAGTGCAGGAAGGACATGACTCTGGGCTAAAGGAACCCTATTTTCTCCTAATTACTCCACTGACTTTGGTGGAGTTAGTCCAGGTTTTTACTGAGCAACATTCAGCATCTGGCAGAGCTTGCAGAACTTGTCTAATCAGATCCTCTCTGGTTTGCTGTTTTCAGCAGCTGAGACATTAAACCATTTCACCGCAGTCACCAGCTCCAGGATTCATAAGCAGAGAGTGAAGACATGACTTGTTCTGTAATGTCATGCATTCCCATGGGGACGTGTATGTCTTTCCATGCTTTTTTCCTCCTCGATTGCGTAAGCTATTCCTTGACCTGTGCTCTACAGTCAATTAGTTCGACATGCATTTGTTACACTACTTCTGAGTCTAAGATTTTTTAATCATCTAATGATGATGGCTGTCCTCCTCCAAGAACACTTAAATACAATCTGATTCAATTGGTCGGCTTCATTGGAGTGCTGAGCCAGCAAGTTGTTTGAGTGCCAAGAGTCAATGAAGCCAAAAATAGGGGTCGAAAGTTGCTTTTAGCTGGCACATACCTCTGGCAAGCTTTGTAGAATATCCTGATTAAAGCACTTGTTAAGCCTTGACTGAATTCTTTTTCCTCTTATAAATACAGTTTTGTCAGATTTCTTTTTGTACTTTCCCTGTGCATTTATGAAAAGGCCTGTGATCGGGATGATGGAGTAACAACCTGAAGTAAAAAGCAGGATTTCTGTCACACCAGAAGGATTTGTGTCGCTCTAGATTAGTAAATGATCTGATGACGGGTGCTACCTTCTGCATCATCCCAGAAACATTTGCAAGTTACACCTCCACCACCTCACTACAACATAGAGTGAAGCAATCTTGGAAACTGTTGCACTTAGTCCAAAAATCCACCAGAGGGTGCAAAGAAATAAATCACCGTCAGAGAGAAATTTCACAGCAGAGATCCTTTCTGCTTGAGCCACTGCTGAGCAAAGCTTCAACTGAATCCCAGTGGAGATAGAAATGAAAGTTGCTGAAAATAAACAGATATGATTTTGTAGGCTTTTAAAGCAATGCAGGCAGACTAGTGGCTGTTTAGCATTGCTTTCATGTGCTGAGATGCTAAATTCAGATACAATAAAGCAGGCAGAAAGAACAACTGGACCTTTTTTTTTTCAGATTGTAATGGACCTCTGTGTATGTTAAAATGTGAAAGGGAAAGACATGCAGAATCCAGTCATACTTGCTTATATTTCAGAGTTCAAGTAAATCCAGGATTAACTGATGGGTGAATTTTCTGCCCCCACGTGGTGAAAATCTTGCTGGTTCTTCAGTTCTGGTGTAGTTGCTGCTTGTGTTAGGCCTGGAAGAAACCTGACAGCGTTTCTAATGTGTGTTTGGCCCAGATTCAATGGTGTGAAGTTCAGATCATTAGGTGTGAATCAAATGCATCATCCAGGCACTTGGCATTTGGCTTTCAGGTGTTATTTAGAATCATAACTGATCCAGTATGGTACAGCGTGTGCCATCTTGTCACAGAAGGAGGTATTCTAATGGTACATGCCTCAGAACAATAACATTGCTAAAAGCATCATTCATTCTCTTCAGAACAAGTCTCACACTTTGGATTATTTGCCTTGTTTGTTTCACATTTGGATTTCTCACTTTATGACAATTGATGACTGTGGCTCATTGCACCTCTTATGCTTAATAATGTTTTCCTTGCTTACGGGGTGCAGAAGTACATCATGAATGTTACTGCAGGAGAGGGTAGTAACAGGAATCTTACTACCTGCCATTACATTTCATCATGTCAAATAATGATTTCAGTTCTCAAAATTTTTGGAATTTGTTAAGATCCTGCTGCATAACTCTTCATATATGCACATAAAGAAGAGGAACTCCTCTACAGGTTATGGTCATTGCATACAGTATGCATAATATTGGGTCTGTTGTGGATGCTCTCTTACACTGGTTTACAGTATAGTTATTACTAATGCTGCTGCCATTGCATTTGCTCTAATAACATTATGTTTGTGTGCACAGGATATCACAAGATATCCTGCCATTCCACTAAGATAAATATATCCGGAATGGGACAGTAACACAGCTAAACTGTGGTGAGGATTAGACTAGCTATGGAAAGCATCTGTTATTATAATATAGGTTTTTATGGGCCAACATCCAGCTCAGATGAATAACCTTCACTCTGGCACAAGAGAGCAGCCTAGGTAGCATGTGTCTACTAAACAGGAGGCACCAAGTTACACTGCACCATTTCTTTTATTGGTGGACAAAGACAGGACTTGCAGGAATTCAGACTGCTTAAGCCAGACTCTTGCACAGGTCAGCTCCATACAGCATCTCAAACTCTTCCTGATTGCAGGAGGATTATCTGAATACCTCCCACAATGCACATTTTCTACTACTTTCTTGGACTTTTCAATTTTTAGTGGGGTGCAGTAAAATAGAAGACAAGGCTATATGTATTTTTTAAACTTTTCTTTTGGGAACAATCTTCTTTAATAGCTGCTGTAGAAAAGAAATGTTGAATTACAACTAATTAGGATTCTTTATTCCTAAAAAGTTAGAGAGCAAGTAACCATCTATCAATGCACTTCTTCTTAGAGGCTCATCCTGTAAACACTGGATAAAAATAATTTCTTTTCCATCTTTCCTTAGATAGTTTATTCAAACACAAATTTGCCCATCTCCTTTGAAAGACTCACAGGAGAATCAGAAACCATCACAGCACAGCCTGGACTTTTCCAGCAGCAGTTGCATTTTACTGTTGATTCACAGCCTCACAAAAGGAAATTCATTTTCTGTGACCATTAACTGCAGAAGCAGTCTTAAAAACTACACTCGTGAGCTGAGAAGTCTCAGCAGTACCTGAAAATTTATCTAACTAGTGACATTTAAAGGAGTCAATTCAAATGCTATCTTTTCTATAGAAAATAATAGATATATTTATAGTATAATCAGCAGTATAATTAACAGAATAATAAAATAAGACAGATATTTATGCAAAATCCAATGAAAAAAAGAGAATAAATCTGTGGAATAATTTTTTCCCCCTCAAAGTAGTCTCTCAAGCCTTAGCCTTCAGGAAGTTTCTTTCCACTTAGATCTTTGAGTAGGCACAGCCCTTTGTAAAAACCTCCAGCTAGCCTAGATGTAAAACTCTTTGATTTTTTTCCCTTTTCTTCAGGAAAGAATTAATTATTTCATGGTGCTATTGAAGAGGAAAGAACTTGATTTGATGTCAGGAAGAAATAATGAAATCTTTAGTGATAAATACTTCACTTCTCTCAATACATTTAAGAACTACATTTCACTGCAGCAGGGAAAAGATAAGTAAGCACTTTGCATCAAAAATATATGAATGTTTTTGAACCTGATTATGAAAACTGGATCAGCAGTCATTTCATATTCTTATTTGTGAACTCATGCCTAGTAATAAGTGATGTCATTTTTGGCCTAACTGAATTATGTTAAATACAAGTAGGTAGCATTCTATTAAAAACGATTCAAACAAATAATGGGAAAGATGACAAAACTGGCACAGGCTTCCCAGACAGGCTGTGACATTTCTTCCTTGGAGATCTTTAGAGCTGCCTGGAAACAGGCCTGGGTGCTCTGCTCCGAGTGCCCAGTAGTACTCTGAGTAGAGTTTGGACCAGATGGACCCAGAGATTCTTTCCGACCTCAGCTATTCCGTAGTTTTGTGATCCTGTGAAGACATAATCTTGTGAACCACACATCTTCCCTGAAGTAACAAGTGCTTTATCATAACTGTTTTCTCACTTTTCCAGAAGTCAAATTTCCAGAGTCAGTCTCAGATAAAGACTAGTTTCATGACAAATGAAGCCACTGCAGCAGTATAGCCACAATGGAGTTTAGAATTGGATTAAACAAAACAAGTTCCCAAACTGCTTGAGGAGTTAGCACCTTATGCTGTCCCTGAAGGTGCACAAGAGCAGAAGAGGGTTTTTTGCCAGGTGGCTCTGAAGTGTGACATGCAAGTATACCCACCTGGTGGGGGACACAAAAATCCCACCTGTCAGAAGCATCACTTGGAGCATCAGGACAGCTGGGCATACTGGATGTATATCAGGTTCACTACATAAAATAATGAGTGACAAATTATTAACGACTCTGACATCAACACCATCCTTTATTTTCTACCATCAGAATGCAAACGGTCCCCTGAAAGAAAAGGGCAAAGCAACCTACATTAACATAAGGTAAGCAACCCCTCAGGGACCAGCCCTCAGGCTGAAGTTCATGCCTCCTAACGTTCAAGGTCTCTGATGGTCTGATAATAGAGGAACTTTTGTGTTTACCACTTCTTCTGAATTGGTTAACAAGCAGTAAAAATACACTCTGAGAAGTTTTTACCTACCAAATTTATGCACATGAACTGCACTTGAAGACTGCAAGACAAGTTTCCCAGCTAGAACATGGCCTCGCAGAGTGCTGCAGCACCACGTTGATACATATTTCTTGAGGATACAGCCTGTTCACCAGGAATATTTTGAACAAGGCAGTCTTCCTTCACTGAGCTTTTCAGTTTAAGTTATTGAAGAATTCTTTGACTGAATGATGTAAGATATCTTAGAAAAACATTATGTAACTTCATTAAAAGTCTTCTGAAGCTCCACCCAGATGCACAAATCCTCAGAAGGTCTGGGGAAATACTGTCAGCATCCAACAAAACCACAAAGGCTGTACCTAAAGAAAAAAAACCTGATGAGAACAAAGAAATAATTGACTTCAACAGTTTGCAGAGAAGTATTCAAAATTGCAGATGCCTCTAGTACTGGCTTGGGCCTGCCAGCTCCTGTTGGTGAATATAGCAGAACTGATATAAAGACATCAGAATTGGGTTCTTACGTTTTCAGCTTTTAAATAAACTATTCCCTTTCTCCATACACATCCAAACACTTCAGATGGCATAACAATTTATTGAAGCTGTAAGCACCAGTGTTTACCTGGAAAAACTGTCAGGTTCACATTGAAGAAGTAGTATGCTATCAAAAGAACTTCCCTGACCCCTCAGTCATTATTTCTTGACTACACAACTGCTGCTCTCTATAAATAGTTCAGCTTTTTAGTATGATTAATAAAAATATGCTGTGCTTCCAGATGGCATGGGGGATGTTTAACACATGGTATTAAAGAGTTAAAGTATGTAGAATCTGGCTGAAGCACAATGGTCTTATGAAGGTCCAGTCTGTCCAACCCTCAGCACAAGATAAATAGAGCTTCAGGAGAGAGCTACACTCACACAAGAGTGACGTTGTTAACAGGATTAAGAAAAAGTGGTGCCATTGATAAGACCATAAAAGAGCAATGCCACTTGTAGGTCCTTGAAACAGTGTAACTGCTTCAGTAAGTTCTTAGATATAACAGGCAAAGTGTTGTTAGGAATATCAATGATCATATAGAAGTCCACTCAACCAACTCATGATAGGAACGCTGGCTACAGACCTCTCCTTCTCAGGAAGTGATCTTCATCCACAAAATGTGCTTCTTTCAGAAGTTAGGGCTTAAATGAGCTCATTCTGGACACAGGAGAAGAACAGATGAATTGCTTTCACCTGTACTTCCTGGGCCAGCCACCTCTTCACTAGGTGCTCAATCACGAGGTCAGGCCATGACACAACAGTTCCCTTACATCACTAATTAACAGATAGATAGAGATGCATAATTAAAGGACATATGTGGTTGCTCCTCACAAGAACATCTAAGGAGCGTTCAAGTGGAGCGTTCAAGAGCGCTCAGGCTGCCCAGAGAGGTTGTGGATGCCCCGTCCTTGGAGGTGTTCAAGGCCAGGTTGGATGTGGCCCTGGGCAGCCTGGTTTAGCATTTAACGTGGAGGTTCATGGTCCTACATATGGCAGGGGGGTTGGAGATTCATGATCCTTGAGGTCCCTTCCAACCCTGGCCATTCTGTGATTCTGTGAAGTGCTTGGGTAAGCTATCTAGCTCCACTCCCCAGTATCTGTGTTAGACACTGAGAGCTAGAACTGTCTGAAGCAGAGACTCATTGAGCATGTTTGCTCCTGCAAGCAGTTTTAGCCAATAAGAACATAAGAGTCTGTTGCCCTTGCAACAACATTACTTACTTAAGATAAGATTACTAGCACTGAGAACTGCTAGCATCTGCATATGGTAAAAGAAGACAATGACAGTACATTCTAATTGGACAAAAGCACAGAGAAACAATAAGCAACAAAGAATGAAAATCAGCTTACCCCCTTCCAACAACAGATGATAGCTTAAGAGGAGTACAATCCCTGTCTAGAAAGACACTACTCCCTTGGCTGCTAACTCTTAAAGTAGGGTGAGGAGGGGTGGGTCCAGGCTCCACCCCCTCTGATCCCTCAAGTGCATTACTTTCAGCTGAGCTTTCTGAGCTATGCCTTCTCACCTGGTGCTTAGCCATTGCTTCAGACTCCAACCTGGCAATTCTGTTGTACGCTGTTCATAAGGAGCTAATCCAGCTTTGTGCATACATTTCTCTTGGTCAAACTCCTTTTGTTCTAGTTCTTTCAGGCCTTTTGCCAATGGAAATGTAACAGTTAAATGTAACAATTAAAACTGATTTTATATTTGCTAAGCAGCAACCAGAATTTTATCAAAACATGACATGCAAAATTTGGCATATTCTTCCCTGCTGCCTCCCAAAAAACCCAGCATGGTCTGGGGAAAGCATGGTAAAACAGATGGTTTGTTTCTATAAAAGTGCTAATATCTACCTGTAGCTATAGTTGCCTATGGAGTTTTTTGCAACTAAACATGAGTTCTCTTTCCCTGGACTCTCATAGGGCATAAATCTCATGCTACGACATTGTGGTACTGAACCCCAGCTAACAGAGGGTGTTTTAGTACTAGCTTAGGAATGTGTTTAGCACAGCAACGTGGTTCCCAGTCAGTAGGCAGTGTAAGCTCGTGACTGCCCTCAAATGATTGTGCAGACATTCTCTATTGCAGTTCTGTAAGGCTGAGAAAAGAAGTCGAATTATAGTCATAAAAGACATAAACACACAGTCTCTGAGATCTTAGTGGCTAATTCCATCTTTCCTGGTATCACTGGCTCTTCACCCAATTCTTTTTGAGGGTGACACTTGTTTAAAAAGCATGCAAAACACAGATCTTTCAGTTCATATGACTTTGTCAAATTACAAGTTTCCTCTCCGTCCATCCAAATACATAGTTGTTTCAGTGCATACAAAAATTTTTATTTGAGCATTAGTAACAAAATACCCAAACACCTTTCAATACCTTCTGTATCTGACAGATTTTTCTCTTCCTTCTCAATTCAAACTACTTTGTCTCAGCCATCTCTCAGCAATTCTATCAATGCTGCTAGTTATCTACTCTTTCTAAACATTAAGCTTTGTATTTCAGGATAATTCAAGCATCTTGATACTGGATAACAGCTAACCCTTTGTATTTGCTGACCCATACTCCACCCGAAAACAACTGTGTGATCTTTTTCAGGAAAACATTTTGGCTCTGTATGTTGGATTGCAGTATTTTTATTAGCACTGAATGAATCTCTCAACACAATTCAACCAAAAAATGAGAAAGAGGTCTTTAAACAAATCTGTGCAATTACTCATCTTAATAAAAAATATTTATTTCATGACTATCTGAACAAATTAATATAATTTCCCATGGATTTGCATGCTACATTCCTTCTTGTACTCAGACTCCATTCCTTGCTACAATATAATCAGTTCTCTATCTGCTTTATGTTCAACTGAACAAGAGAAGCAGGTTGGATTGATAAGGCTGCATCACAGAGCAGAAACACAGCTCTGTTAAAACTGCTTTTCCTACACAGAGGAATCACTTTGGTCCTTCTGTAACTACCTGAAGGGAGGTCGTAGTGAGCTGGAGGTTGGCCTCTTCTCTCGTGTAACTGGTGGGAATGGCCTCTAGAAGGAGAAGGGAACTAGAGGGAATGGCCTCAAGTTGTGCCAGGACAGATTTAGGCTGGACATTAGGAAATACTACTTCTCTGAAAGAGTGGTCAGGCTCTGGAATGGGCTGCCCAGGGAGGGGCTGGAGTCACCAACCCTGAAAGTGTCCAAGGAATGTTTGGACATTGTGTTGAGGGACATGGTTTAGTGAGAACTATTGGTGATGGGTGGATGGTTGGTCCAGATGATCTTGGAGGTCTCTTCCAACCCCGGTAATTCTATGATTCTAGACACTTTCCAATTTTTGTAAAGCCTATAGAAAATAATGTGTTCAAGATTTCTCTCTGTGTCAAGCACATCTCTTTTCTCTGTTCTTTGTTTTCCAACAGATGTAAAATCTTTGTTAACCTTTGTTAAATGAGTTTAAAAAATAAATGAGAAATGGAGGGTATGCAAATTTTGCTTCCTTGCTAATCCAAGTAGCACACTTACTTGTTCAGCAAACTGCATGAATGTTTCTCCTAAATTCTTGTGCTACATTTTTTAACTACCTTAGCAATATATGCCTTGGAGTTGTCAAAAACATTCTCTTCAGTTATTTGTACTAACTGTATAACTCTGGGCAAATCCATTGCAGCAGTTAATGGGAGACTTTGGGAGACTTTTACCAAATCAAAAAGAAAAGAAAAAAAAAAAAAAAAAAGAAAGAAAAAGAGTTAAAACTAAACACAATGCAAAACATAATTTATGAAAAAAAAAATTATTTGGCCATAGTCTTGTAATTATGTCAGCTTCAGCCTGGGCAAAGATTGACCCAAAAAAGTTAGCACAGAACAGCAGCTGAAAAACTCAGTGATCCCTTTGACGCTTTCAATCATTTAACTAAGAAGTTTCTTATGATATTTTTCAACTTGGAAAATTAATTTTTCCAGATGTTAGGGCAAGCTTTCTGCTACTGGCAGAGAAATACAGAAAAGGATATATTTTGAGGAGAAACAACATATCTGCCCTTTATGTCGCAGGAAGCAATAGAGCTAATGAAACCTGGTGAGAAGAAAGTGGGCCATTGCGATGTCCACACGTCTGGACTGAACACATCTTTCTAAAGGTCTATTGTGCTGCTAGAATCATATACAGTGGGAATGTTTTGCCCATTCTAATCCTTGCAGGAACCATTCACTGCTTCTGGATGGTATTTACCTCTGGGCTAAGAGCATTCATGTACATAAGATTGGTCCAGGACACACACACACACACACACACATATATATATATATATATTCTGGAATAAAGTTGAAGGAAAGTTGTTAATTGCTGACCTGCAGAGAAAAGGCAACATTATTGGCATAGGAAAACATACTGCAAAAGGTGGTCTGACATGTTATTTGCAGCTTCTTTGAATACCATTTCTTTCTTTATGATCAGGGATCATGTTGGATATTTTTCTTCATATGAAGGGCATATGTTAAATACAACATGAACTCTCAGTTCTGAATTCTTTTGTAGTAATGGAAATCTAGAGTTAACTCCACAGCTTTCTGAATCTGGTTTATAGAGCTTAGTCAAAAAAGCTTCATAGCCCTTCTCATGTATTTAAGAGGATTGTAATATAAATGAAGGAAAAAGTGGGTCACAACTTTGGCAACCCTTTTCCCTTCCCTCTATTTTTGGTCTCACAGTTAAAGCCTTCAACATTTCCTTGTATGGACAAAACAATTAATAAAAAAACCCAAAACCTTACAATGGAGGCAACCATACAACTGAAATTGCTTTATTTTACCAGTGAGGAAAATACATAAAAATGGGCAACAGCCTGTAAAAACCCCAATATCATACCACATATGGTGTGAACTGATAAAATTAGTGTAGGTGATCTGCAGATAATGTCTGGGAAATGTTAACAATAAAACTGTATGTGCTGAAGGCCTCCAAAGTTTAAATAAATATTCCTAGTAAATATTATGAAAACCTCTACTCCTTTCATGAGAACGTGTTCCAAAAAGGCTAAAGGAGATACGGCTTATTTACATTAATCCCATTTTGATCTTCAATAAAAATAACCTACAGGCTGTGTTGGACAGGATGGTACTGCACACCAAGCAGGACAAGGGACAAATCCCATTCATCTCAGCCTGTGGAAGCAGGCAACAACATCATCCTAGGAGAGGAAGCAAAACTTTCTCCCGTGTACACTCCTGTTTTGCAGCCTCCAGAGCACATGAATATGAAGGTTCGATTCTTCTGTAGGAAGGAATCCAGTTCAATTCATTCCCTTTATAAAAACTACAAGAAGTATAAAAAACAAAAGAAAAGGAAGCATGTTTGGAATTGCTGTGTTTACACATAAGGCTGAAAATGTTCCCAGGTCAGCAGGGAGAGGGTTCCTCTGATCATGGCTCAGCAGGACAGTGCTCTTCGCTCTGCAGATCTAACATTTGTCCTGGATTAAGCATGGTCCAGTGTGGCAACAGAAACAGAAGAGGCTTGGTGAGCTCAGACCAAGCAGCTGGAATAGTTACATGGGTCTGTGATGTTTCTTGGGCTGGTAGACCTAACAAAGCTTTAGGTGAGGATACAGACAAGAAGTTTCAGATGGTGCAAATGGGAAAAGTTTCAAGAAAGTACATGAATGAAGTTTCCTACCTCATCTTCCATCTTCCCAAGAACTCTTTCCCTAACAGAAAATTTCCAGCCACCCTCTTGCATCTCCCTGTTGCTGCAGCATGTGTGGCCAGAGGAAAAGCCAAGAGGAAAGAAAAGTGATCATTCCCCCTGACAGACTAGCTGGGTCAAACTAACTGGAGGAGGAGGCTTGCTGCCAGACTGGTGAGGGCTGGCTGTATAAACCATGAACATATCCCACTTTTGTAGCATTTTTACTTTGCATAAACATAAAAATAAGTATTTGCCTTTGATTAATGTGCTTTAGCTTAGTTACGTAAGTGTGTCAATTATCTTTCTTGGTGCTTGTTTACTTGAAATTAAATGTCAGAGAAAATATGTGTCTCACGAGAGCCATGTAAATCGTTCCATTAATGGAACTGGATAAGCAAATTGCTCTTTGGATTTTCTTGCTATGTGACTTAGATGGAACGCCTAAAGACAGGAAATAAAATTTTATTCTTTGCCAGGCTGTGTGTCTATCTATAAACAGGCCACATGGAGGGGGGAAATAACCATGAAGAATATTTGAAATACCAACTTTTCTCTTCTTGCTTGTGCTCATACCTGTCTTGTGCATGATCCAATTTTTAAAACCTGAATGCTGAAGACAATATGAACTGTACAGTTTCTCTTCTAATGTCATAAGATGACAAAACCTCTATTTTTTCTTCATTATTAACCAACCAATTCCTGTTTTTTA